TGAACCCTGCAAGCATGAGGTTGAAAAGAGGAGCGATTGGAAGTTTTATATATATATACACACATAAGTGCCTATAGTGAGAAAGGCTTTGTGCCTAGTGGTCCTTTGCCTCAAGATGAGATCAGTGTGGAAGACAGTTGTCCTGCAATGCATTTTTTTTGCCTTGTGTCAAGGGCTTTCTGGTTTTCTCCATGTTGTCAAAACGAGGGAGTTTGCTCCAAATCTGGTGATGGAAATCGTAGATAAAGCCGAAACCTCTTTGGATTCACCACGCATGCAGAAAGCTTCAGATTCCATGACTCGTGGTGAGGCCAGCAGCACGTTGCTGACCAGTGAGCGGGGAAGGCCTTACGAAGCTTGCTTGAGCAATGGGAGGGCGGAACTTATCGACCAAAGCATTTTCCCCAAAGGATTGTGGTCTTAAAGAACTGGCTTCAAACCATGATTATGTACTGTAATTTGGAATTTGTGGCAAACCCATCCAGTGAGGCTGAGCAGCTGGGGGAGTCACTTGGCTGAGAAACTGTGCTGGATTTGTGGTTCGAATTGAGGTTGGAGATGGTTGGAGTTTGGGTGAAATCATTGGACGTGCAAATGAAATTCTGGGTGAAATCAAGGAACTTCATGGCATCAAACCATGAAGGAAAGAAGATAGCATGATTGTTTGAGATAGATGTGGACACCTGGTGTCTTTCACGTGCGATCTGGTCGACTTTTATAAACGTTCTGCACAGGGCACCTCAAATGTGAGGAGTCACGTTTAGATATGTATTTGCTGGCGGTTTGATGGGTTGCTTGGTGACGGCAATTTGACATTTTAAACTGATTTCTGTTGCATTGTTGTTGTTTTTCTTTGATGCTCGTGCTGATGCTCTGCGAATTAACTTGCTTCGGGAATACTCGGGGGTGGGTGTATACTGAGTTCGTTGTCACTGCACTTTGTGAAGCAACTTGGACCACGTCGTGTAGAAGACCTTTCGTTTTGGTCCTAGTCACTATACAAACTCTTTCAGCATTTTTTCGTCCATGTGTCACCACAGTCTCCTCGCTTTTGTTCGAGACCTTTTGTTTGATTCACCACATTCCCATTCACCACGGTCCTCCTCCTTCTCCTTCTCCTCCTCCTCCTCCGTCTGAGCTGTACCTTCAACCTCCATGATGAATGCAGAAAATGAGCTAGTTTCGATGCGCTGACATGAGGTCTTCAAAAAATATGCAGAAATCGCATGTTTACAAAAGCACTTGACATAAAATTGACCTTGCCTTGAATCAACAGCATTATATAAGATCTCTAAACTTGCCCGCCCTAGAAGGGCTACCTGACCTTGAATTTGCATTTGTCTCTATTTGAGCCTTGAACTTTTCTCTGTTGAGGCTGCATGTGATCGCCAAATACCGCCAAATGTGCCTGGGACGTTCAGCGTTTCTCAAGCAGACTTGGTATGCCCAGGTCTGGGTTGTTCAGTTGGGGTGGTTGTAGTGATGAACGGCCTACAAGTTTGTTTGTTTGTTTTCTTTGTTTGTTTGTTTGTTTACTCGTCCTTATATGGCTCTGCCGCGAAAGCGTACTTGGGTTGTTGGGAGTGGGACACTTCTCCAAAGGGCCATGCAAGGGTTGGCGAGAGGTGTTCGCTCCTGGGATGGCAATGTTCATTTTGTGGAAAACGCTGCTACCCACTTTGTGGTTGTGAACCGGTACACCGTACAAGTGGATGTGGACGCATTGAGCCTTTCGGCATGCCGGAGTTGGGATCTCAAGCCATTGTCGTTAGATTCTCAACTCTAGCTGAAGTCGTATGCCAGAACCCTTGTTTGGTGAGGAAAAAGGACAGACAGCCAGACAGCTTGTTCTGTTTTTGCGATAGTTGAGCCAAACCTATGTGCGTCATTGTTGGGAAACTCTTCGCCACTCGAGGATCATGAACTTTTTGCCGCTAGTGGCCTTGGTGCCCATAACGGTGTGCCAAAGCAGGACAGACAGCACCGGAGGAAATAGGGTAATTCCGCAGTATTGGCAACATGAAGAGACAGAGCACAGTTCATGCACATGCATCTAGACATCCCTTGCAGACTTGGATCAGCAAGATGTTCGTACATACGTTTCCGGTCAAAACTATATCCGAAAGGAGACATAGTAGCTCCTTACAGTCTATGTCATTAGGAACACCAGGACCTATGATCAGACCAGAGTGTTTGAAGACCGAAGGGTGCATGCAAAGTGGAAGAGAAACCAACCGTGACCGTTGGCTTGCAGGCAGGTCCGTATATATATTTATATATATATATAGTTCCAATATTTGACCAGGAGAGATGCGAGACTAAGGCCTAGAGCAAACACATCTCACTGCATAGGCTGTTGACCACCCGGCAAAAGCGGTGCTGTCTCCAGGATGACGCAGCGACGCCCGCTTTCTGCCATGTCTTTTTTGGAGACCTCGGGCATTCTGTTGCATCTTGACTTGTCAACAGAGCGAATTGTTTGTGCTACGAAGATCCATCTACTAGAATGCGTGCGCTTCAGGTTGGGCAAGGTGTCGCAGCACCTTGGCGTGAATGGTTGTCCCAGGTGTTTTGATATTGTTTTTTTTTTTTGTAATGTATATATTAGATAGGAAAATTGTGGTCGTATTTTATCTCCGTCAGCCATTTTCCCTGCCTACTGATTCGTTTGGCATTTTGAAAGTTGTCTTTATTCAAGTCAAGTCTAGTCTCAGCTTGTGATTCTAAAGGTTCAGGTCTGCCCAGTAGGTCAGCTGTGGATACGAACTGCGATTCTGCTCCCAACAGCACAATCTAGCGCCGCCAACTTTAAGTTAGTCAAATCCACTCTTTTGAGTGTGACGAGACTCTGGCGATTGTGCCAGGTGGGGCCTCATGCTGACCTATGTCCTTTATGCAGGAGCCTCAAGGGGACGAATAGGATAGTTTTGAATCGGTCACAAACAGCTACTCCCACAGTACACACCCTCAGTCGTTTGAGGTCGGAAGCTATGCGATGGACTTCTGGGCTCTTTCAAGTCCTGAGACGCTTGGGACAGAATGTGAAGGACGCTACTAGGGGCTCCTGGCCTTACTAGTAGTAACAAGAACGCTACTAGGAACAAGTGCCACGCTACTAGGAGCAAGAAGCTACTAGGGTGCTCCAAGATGTTCATCCTTTCGCAGGTCCTGGGTCTCCAAAGCAACCATGCCAGATTGGGTTAAAGGAGTTTGATTTGATAGTAATCGCACAACATGAGCCTTCAATTTTGGAAGTAAGTCTTAGGGAATAGTTCCATACAGCAGATGGTGGGGGCACTTTGTAGTTATTTTTCTCATGATAGAGACGCGAAGGTGTCTGAAAGGATAAAGCAACAACTGCGGGACAGTCTAAAGCTGATAACGCCCTCCATCCTTCTACTGACCTTCAACACCAATTGCCAATTGCTCTTTCAGCCAGAGGCAACTGGAGGAAGAGCTCATTTGATGCAGGAACACTAGGGTTGCAATGCGAGCCTGAAACTGAAGCTTGGTTTCTGAGGTTCTTCGCATTTCGTACTCAGCCTGTTTCAACAAATGTCATGTTCATGTTAGGTTGAATGCAGGAGAGCGGTTGAAAATCTACAGCAGCTCTGCTCTGCACTCAAAAAACCCGCGCTAAAACGCGAAAAAAAGTGCTGCTCAAACTAACTTCCATTGCAGGACACGGGCTTAAAGAGTCCTCCGAGCAAGTGGAAGATGTGCTGCTGCAAATACCTTTTTATGGCCAATCCAACAATGGCAAGAGTTGCTTTATATGAGACATCACATCACATGGCTTCTCTTTGCGCCCCTGCCAGGCTAGACCAGTTGTGGGCAACGTTGAGGCACGCATCCTCAAGCAAACAGGGGTGTGTCAATTCTATTATGAGTATTAGAGCCTTTTAGGTCCTCGTTGTAGTAGAGCGGTATCAAGTTCAATGGAGCTTCTAACTTCTGAGACCAGCGGCCAGCGTGAAAAAGGTAGGTTGTCAGCTAGATTCTTGGTTTAACTTAAGTATCTAACTAGGGTGTTGGATGGATGGAAGAAGACAGGAAGGTAAGGCCCCTTCACGGATGCCTTACCTGACGAGATTGGGGGTTGCGTTTCAGAATCAGAATTCCCGAAAGAATGTTGGTTGTCTCCTTTCTTGCAGGTTTCCAGCTATTATTGAAAGCTCCATTCACTGTGAGACAAACAAAGTTCAAAAGATCTTTGGACGCGTACACACGGTTTACATGAAGTCCAGCGGGCTTTCTTTTCATGAGGTACTCCTGCGTGGACGAGTGGCTGAGGCGTGAGATGCAACTGCTATGTGTGAGATGAGTCTGGACACTGTCTCAACAAAGGGAACTATTTGACCTCTGGATTGTAAGTAGTCTTGGGGTGCTTCATGCAGCTGATGCTGCAGCTGGGTTCAGAATGTAAAGCCAAAGGAGTCACTCTGTCCATAATAGCCTAGTAGCCTTGTCCAGCCTGATTTGCAGGGTCCACCCTGCTATGGGTAGCGACCTGAGGAGCGTGTGGTCAAGAAGTGAAGTGCCGGCTGTAGAGTTTCTGAAGATTGTTCTAGATGGAGAAGAGGTTCGCTGGTGGCATTTCATCAATCTTGCATCCTGCTATTAAGACTTTCTTTTTATTGGACTTCTGGAGTTTGAGGCTTGGCACCCTGTGTTCTTTGAGGCAGAGGGTAATTTCATGTAATTTCTTACTTGCCTAGAAATGACTAGAGGTGTGCTGGAAACCCTGCAATTCTCGATAGATCCGAGTCAATCTAAAAGACACCACATTGAGGTCTGCATAGAATCTACTTGGCCGTGCTGAGGCTGAGACCCTGTGAGGCAAATGGCCACCTTTACCTCATTGTCTTCGATGACGAAGAGGCTCACGGCTCACTGGTTTGGTGGCTGGGTATGGGTCAAAACCTCCAACATGAGGTGAAGACCGAAACAATGAAACCAATGACGACCCAGGGGACATGCACTTAACAGTATCTTTGGGTCTCAGAATAGGAGAACTCCATAGTGACCGGGTCCATGTTTTGGGAGGGCTGTCATTTCGAGACAACAGACCCAAAGATCTGATTTGCAATTTTGTGTTTCCCCAGTTTCACCTCCCCCAAAAAACTATACCCGGGTAGACCCCAAGCAGCTTAGTTGAAGAGAATTATTGTTGTCGTGGGCGGACGCAGTCCTCCTTCCCTCAGAAGGATGAGGGAAGGAAAACAGCACGAACACACCAAGAGGACAAAAGCAGGACAAGCCGTGACCGAACTATGGGACCGATCGGGGCTCGCCGGCGCAGCCTGACACTGTGGCCAACATTTTTCCCAGGGGAGAACCTTGCAAGAAGAGGATAACAGGAGGACAAGGAGAGGACATCGGCTTCTGGGGTTGCTTCCTGGAGAGGACAAGACGAGGACAACAGGAGGACAAGAAGAGGGCAACAAGAGAAGAAGAGGACGACAACAGGAGGACAAGGTCTGGAGCAACAGCAGGACAACTGCAGGCACCAGGAGGACAAGAGGAGGACACAGGGTTGACCAGCGCGGCCAGGACAACTGCAAACGCCAGGAGGACAAGAGGAGGACTAATGCCTGACCACAGTGAGACACTCGCCGGCAAACTACGAACGAAGTGAGCGAACGAAAAGGGCATAGGGCATAGGGACTGGGCGTGCACGAACCTAAGAACTGCGTCAACACAACTCGGCCAATTACTGTAATCCGGGAAACTGCTGCGAAGTGGTCGTTTAGCAGGAAGCTGGGCAAGAAAAGCCTGGAAGGTGGAAACTGCAGCGTGCTCAAAAACACACGTGGCCCCTATGCCAGAAGCACAAGAGCAAGCACCAGGACCCCACAGGGATCTCGAGAAGGCCACGCGCTCAGCCGCAGGCCGCAAGCTCATGCAAGCCGCAGGCCCACAGTAAACTGTTTGGGGAACTGTTTCATGCAAGCCGCAGGCTCATGGCCAGCTTGTGCGACATCGCTTTGGGCAGCTCAGCTGCGAGGACTTTGGTCTTTGTGACCCTGACGCCTTTTTGAAAAAGAAAAGCAGGAAGTAGGAGATAGGAGAAAAACTTTGTTTCCATTTCAGGACCCCACGTTTTGTTTCCCGTTTCGTTTCCTTTCTTATCATCTCACCCAACTCCATTCTTGCTTCCACTTTTCTTTGGTCACGGGATTTCAAGTGGCCTGCGGCGCCCACCAGGAGATGGTGAATAGTGCCAGCTGGGCTGTGGCCTCGGGGCGCTTTAGAAAGCGTTAGGGTGGCATCAGAAACAGGGTTGTATTAGCTTTGTTGTTGCTCAATGGGATTGTGATACGATGATACGACTTGACTGGGTTCTTGGAGTGAGCATGGGACGCCCATGAGTTGGGCAGGCGCAGATCATCAAGCTAGATCGCCGGGAAGAGTTCAGGATGTGCGAAACCCAGTGGCCCAGAGTTTCAACTGGGATTCTCTAAAAGTGGTTTAGGGTGGGTGATCACTTGCCGGAAAGATGTGAAAAACATGCCTAAGTGACATCTTTTCGAGGAGCGAGAACATCACCGAGAGCATCCGACCGAGGTTTTGGTGAGCCTCTTCATATTTGTAGAATGTATATATATATATACACACATTATATAATATAATACATGCACATACATACGCCAATTATATATATATACTTGTATACTGTATACAGGTCATGCAGCACTGAGATCCTGGACGCAACTGGATGAACTTTGTTATCATGTGCGTTTAAATGCTTGACAGATAGCTTCAGGCCAGTTCATTCCCAAATCATTCCTTGAAGTATTACATAGGTTGAAGTCCAAGTCCAGAGGCAGAACCATCAAGTCATGTTATTGCAAGCTTGCTCACCCTGTATTGAGAATCCGTTGCTGCAACTGGCCAGGTACTTCACATTTGCGGCTTGTGGCATCAAAATGGCAGCTCGGTTCTTCGCAGAAAGTTTGGTTCCGATGTTTACCCTTCATTGGATGGAACGCTTCTTATTTTTTTCAGGGAAATCATCATGGATGCATGTACTGCAGAAGTTCAAACATAGTCGGTGAGGTCAGGTTGCTGTTGCTCCACTACTGAGGGGCATTCGAAGCGCTTGTTTCGACCTGAATGTACACTACTGAGATAAGTTAGACCTGCAATACCGGATCAAGCGCCTCTTCAGCTAGACGGCCAAGGAAGTGCCAGCTTTCTTCGAGATCCACGCCCAGAATGTGTTACAGGTGCTCAGCGTGAAGACATTTCATTGCAATGTTTGAGTGCGCAGCATATCCGGGCAATCATTTATGCGTATTTTTGTTGTAGCAACATGCAACATGTATGCACATATGCAGGCCCTGAGCCTCTGGCAGGCTTCATGTTGTGACAGTACACCACGGTCTGTTTGACCGCGAGATTTACATAAGCGGTACAAGTGAATTTTTCGGAATGTTTGTTCCCCAAAGAGGAAATCCATGAAAGAAAGCTTTCTCTTGATGCTGAAGGAAGTGCGATCAATGTTCCACTATCCAACGTTTCTTCAGTGACGGTCTTGGTGGCCAGGGCTTCGAGAGCGAGTTTGGCATGGACCAACAGGGCTCCTTGCTGCTGCAGGTGAGAGGCTGAAAGGCTCCCTAGGAATCCTAAAAACCTAGGCCTCCGCGATGGCCTGCAACCTATAGAAACCAAATGATTAGCACGAGCACTTCTTCGGGGGGAGCTTCCTGGAAGAAGCGTGAGCTATCCTGCGTCCAGTAGCTAGTAGCTACCTCTTCCTCTTAGCAGCGTACCCCCGGCCTGGGCTTCAATACAACGATAACTTTAAACCAAAACGATATCATTTTGTGCTATCTCAGATATTCATTTGCAATTTCCGCTTATTAGCCCAGATTGTGTCGAGTCACGAGTATCAGGTGGCTGCGGCCTCAGGTTTTATGGGTGCAGAACCCAGTTCGGATGGGAAGCTGGGGCCAATCTGAGGTCTCAGAAAATTCATGTACATATCAGCCTTAGCATTTTGCAAAAGTGATTATTTTGTTGCCTATTTCATATTTGAGCCTTCAGGGAGTCCATGTTGTCTATTTTATGTTTGAGCTTCTTTTGCTTCTTACTTTTGAAGTACTGCTCAACCTTGAAGGCCCCTTGGTCTTGACAATCCCTTTGCGCCAAACTTGTGTTTTGTTTGCTTCAAACATCATGGACTGCGTTGAGCCCAACAGAATCCCATGATCGAAGCTGACGATACGGCTATCTCAGACCAAGGTTCTACACAAGTTGTGTTTATTTGTCACGAAACCCAGCCGATAGGCTCTGGAGTTGGGATGGGCGAACGAAGTGAGTTGGTCGCAGGAAGGCCAATTTCGGAGGGCGAACCCAGATCCTGGTGGGGGAGAGCGAAAAGAAACTGTGGCCAGAATGGGATTGACAATGTATGGTTTCTGGGTGTTGTGATGCAAGTGATGTAACTGACGGCGATCAGTGTATCATTAGCATCATGAGGGGCTCAGGAGGCAATGTAAACTGTCTTCTACCAGGGGTGGGATTTCATGTCGATGATAGGAAAGGGGGGACAACGAGCACGAAAAGTGGTCGGACTGGTGGGCATTGAAGTAGCATAGCGTTCGACCGGGGGTTACAAGGAGGTGTGTGCCTCTCAAGACACTGTCGTCTTGTGGAAATGTGATCTGTAAGGGCAGGAGAGGGAACAGAAAAGAGATGATGTGACCCGTTGAGGGCAGGAGTGCTAGGGTAGCTTTGTGAGCAGCATAGTAGCCAGGCGGAAAAGGGGCCCCACATGGGGTTGGTTGGTGTTCATGTGGCAGACGGGCAAATACGTGGTAGGAACAGAGGGATTGCAAGAAATGTTGGAGTTGTCGGGTGCCGTTTTTTTGGTGAAGACGCCCGTCAACCATACGCAAGAGGGCGGAACCCCATTTTCTGTGTTTTTTACCACTATGTTTTTGGATTTCTTTTCCAGGTTCTGTTGTCTTCGAGGAAGGAAGGAAGGGAGGAGGGGAGGAAGCAAGGAAAGAAGAAAGCAAGGAAGAAAGGAAGAAAGGAAGGAAGGAAACAAGAAAGCAAGGAAGAAAGGAAGAAAGGAAGAAAGGAAGAAAGGAAGGAAGCAGGCAAGCAGGCAGGCAGGCGGGCAGGCAGGCAGGCAGGCCGGCGGGCAGGCAGGCAGGCAGGCAGGCACGCGCGCACGCACGCACGCACGCACGCAGGCACGGCACGCAGGCACGCAGGCACGCAGGCACGCAGGCACGCAGGCACGCAGGCACGCAGGCACGCAGGCAGGCAGGCAGGGAGGCAGGCAGGCAGGCAAGCAAGCAAGCAAGCAAGCAAGCACATACATACATACATACATACATACATACATTGACATACATACATACATACATACCTAAAGACACACATACACATGCACATATGCATACATACACATATATTCACATACGTTCACACTGGCTGGTGTATACTGCATTGTGATCTGCAAGAATGCAGCGGGAAGAGCCTTCTCCTTCTCTTGTTCCTTCTCCTCTCTCCTTTGTCTCTTTCTCCTTCTCTTCCTCCCTCTTTTCCTCCTTTGCCTTTTTCTCCTCCTTCTTCTACTCTTCTGTTCCTTGCCTCCTATGCTAGTTTTTGCTCCTTTTCCTTTTTCTCCTTCTCCTTCTACTCTTCTGTCCCTTGCCTCCTGCGCTAGTTCTCTTTCTTCTTCTCTTTGTGGCAACCCCTGACCACAAACAGCGCGGAAAAAGTCGCAAAGCGCTTTGGAAAAAACATCCAAAAAATGGTCGCCAAGAGGGCACCCCGTATGGGGTGGGAGTTCATGTGGAGGATAGGTGTAGCGGGGGCGGATGTGATAGGAACAGCGGCAAGCCGCGGCGGCGTGGACAGGAAACAGCGGGGTGTGAAAAGTGGGCTAGCTTTGAGTCGCTTGGGGGTGCCCTGTCTCTATGGTGACGAGGCCTGTTGACTAGAAGTAGAAGGGCGCCCCATATAGGGTGGGAGTTCATGGGGAGGAGGGGCGTCGTGGGGGAGGATGTGATAGGAGCAGAGGCGGGGAGCTCGTCTCTGAAGCGAGTTGCCTCTCGCACGTCACTCTGCTTTCTATTTCCAACCGCAGTAGACATCCCCGCCGTGTCGACTTCCCTCCATAACAGTACGATCCACTCTTAACAGCGCGCCAAGTTTATGATCCATCCGCAAAACATGAGAAACAAACCTCAAACAAGCAATGACCTCGGGGTGCCCTTTTTTCTCTTCTGACTGGATCAACCCCGCCTGATACCCCCCAGCGCTTCCCCTGCACTCTCACGTTCACCTCCGTTGACCGTATTCATATCTTCTTACGGAGGCTGGCTTTCGTCCTCTCCCTTCTCAGGTTTTTGTCTACACTCAGATTCCCACTTTGAGGAGCTCCCTCAAATAGAACATTTTGCAGGACATTCTCTCATGTAAGAAAACAAGACCTCTATACAAGCCTGGCGACAGATGCCAGGTCTTTTTCTTGCGCTACGGATGGGAAGCAAGGCAACGGGCTCCGAGGCGATCCTCTGCGGACACCTTCTCAACAACCAAAATCAGCAGTCTGTGAAGATGTAATGTGATGAAAAATTGAACATGATCATGATGAAAGTGACGAAAGAGCGTGAGATCGCGATTTGCGTGTTCCCACAGTTGATTTTTGCAATCGTTCGCCAAAATAACATTAACCCACTTGTAAAGCAGCTGAATACAACAAGGAATGTTTCATTAATCATTTGGTCTTGAACTGCAGACCTTCTTGAATATCAGGGTTCTCCCGTATGATTCTGAGCACTATGTCTTATGTCATATGCAAAGTACAATGTTTAAAGCCTGGTGTAATTCCAGGGCCACCTCGTGGTTGGCAGGCGCTTCGGTCCAGGCCTTTGCTTCGGCCCCTGGCCCCAGCTTAGTTGGGGAGACTCGCCGAAAGCGCAGCGCCAATAGAGCCGTAATCAATTGCTTTCTTCAGTACTCATTGGGGTGGATTGCGCCAATCAGAGTTGGAACTTTGCGAGCCACTTAAAGGCGAATTTACCCGACAAGTCGTCCTTCCCGCTCAGGATCCTTCTAATCTCATCTGGGTGTTCATCCATAGGCGCCAATGAAGACGGACCGCTCGATTTGTCCACCCTCTCGTGTTCTGCTGTGGGATGCAGACGATTTGTTAGAACGCGCTTGGAGCCTGTGAAAAGCAGGATATGTTTCTGTAATACATTTCATTAGCCAAAGTGCCTTGGCTCAAGTTTGATTCCAAGAAAGAAAACGATCGCTTTTCGTACTTTGGTTGCCATGGCAGAGCTCCCCACTCCTGAAACTCCCAGGCAAGCTTGTGGAGTTGGACGAGGCGATGTGGACGCTCCTCCTGCAGGCTTCTCCGCCTACCGCGCCCTCGCCCTTCGCCAGCGCAAGCGCAAGGACGCAACTACCACAACCCCGGCGCCTCACAATGGCAGAGGCAGTCGCTGGCACTGAACCTCCAATGGACACACCAAGGCATTTCAGGCGGGTTGGTCGCGGGCGGCTTCAAGCAAAACCAGGTCACCTGTGAGCTGGTCGAGAGTGGCTAAGATTGAGGCCCAGCAGGAAGTGATCCTCTGCACACGTCACCTCAGCGTGTACCCGAGCTTGCCCGAGCTGGTTCGCCAGGAGAAGCGCTTTTGTGGGGTGAGGTGCAAAGGAAGCAGCAGGAAAATTGGGAGAAAATGGAGACCCAGGCTGGAGTCAGGAGATGATCGGATGCGGCTGGGGCCCAACCTCCCTCCACCAGAAAGATTTTGAAGAAGAGCGCTCACTTCACAGTCTTTGCAGGCGGTGCTTCAAGCTCCATCGTCCTCCCGATGCGTGGCGCGACTCGTGGTAATCCTGGACGAGCAAGGCTCTGAAATCGTGGCGTTGACACAGTCCTGTTCTGACTTCTAGTCATTTGCATTAGGATTCGACTCAGGAGAAACTAATCAACATGCAAAAGTGCCTGCTGCGCCTGCACTTTTCCGTTGGTTTTTTGATTTGATGTTTCAAGAAACTTAAAATGTGCTGGGAGCCTGTGGAAAGCAGGTTATGTTTCTGTAATACATTTCATTAGCCAAAATGCCCTCAAGTTGATCCCAAGACAGAGAACCACCCCCACCAGTCTGTGGGCTGAACCCGTCAGACGCCTTGGGCACAGACGTCAACAAGCTGAACGACCTGAAACAGATTGTCATCTCAGCACCATCCCAGTGCGGTTTTGACTTCAAGTCATTTGGACCCGACCCAGGAGAAACTAAACCAACATACAAAAGCGAGTGCTTTGCCTGCACTTTTCAGTTGGTTTTTCTGTGAGGGGTTCTTACTCCTTTGAAAGGAATGCGTGACCGGGCCGCATGATTTTACATTCGTCTCCGGGCTTGCGTTCCTGCCGCACTGTGGCTGCTGTGGCCGCATGATTTTATCACCCATTTGTCTCCAACTTGTTTCCTCCCAGTGTCTCCAGTCGTTTGTGGGTGCTTTGGCCGCATGACTTTACACTTGTCTCCCATTTGTCTCCCGTCTCCAGTTTGCTGTGCGTGCTGATTTTACATGTGTTTCCCACTGGTCCCGGTCCCTGGTGGGTGCGCTGGCCGCGTGATTTTACAATCGTGTGGACTTGGACCTGGGCAAAGCAAAAAGGGGTCAACGCTGGTATAAACTGGAGTTGATTTTTAATAAGATTGGGAACTGTATGGAGTCACGGCTCGTTTGGGTTGCCACCGCATGGTCCATGTACACCTATGTGCACCTGCAACTCAGTTTTTGAAGGCGCCTGTTGCTTTTGTATGCACTGGGCGGTCTATGCCTCGGACGGCACCGGGCTTTTAGCGATGGAGGCAGGAAACAGAGACTGAGGTTCTTGAGGTGAATGCCGTATATGCATTGGTGGTTGTTTTATGGGATGAAAACCGTCCTTGGTTGAGTGAGAAGGGCTGAGGAGATTGTGCCTGCCCAATTCCTAGAACAATTTGTGAATCCAAGATGACCGTTCTACCCAAAATCTGGGGAAATCCATTTTAACCGTACGATTTGCTCTCAAAACATCACCCTCAAATGCATTGGTCTTCATCAAACTTTTGACTAGCCTTATGATACCAGGTAGCTGGCACTGGCCTGGTGGCTTTGGCCAAGGTCGGATATGGACCACGGAGGGGGTTTGTGCATCGGTCAAAGAGGTTGGTCAAGACCCTTGTAGATGGGTACTCACAACTTGGTATCAATTCTCAAACTATATCAGTGGTCTTTCTAGCACTCTTTTGAAGCAAACTAGTCCCTTGAAGCAATAGGTTGGAGGCCATTGCTATTAGGTGGGAGGCCAAGCAATAGGCCCACAAAACTCACCAATGTGCTGCAACTACTTGAAACATGCCACAGGACATAGCATACAGTGTTCTTGTGTGCCGCAACCATTGGGTCATTTGTTCGGCTGATATCCCGACAGATTTGGACAGGTAGAATTCGGTAGAATTCTATTTGTCCACGTCAGGCTTTGCTGGCCATTTTGCAACTGATGCTTGCCAAAGGCAGAGTGCAAGTCTTTGCCAATGGCTGATCTGCAATGAAAAGAGATGAACAAGAAGTGGCCTCATTAAAGGGGCCCAAAGACATTTTTTTTCATCTCTATTCTCCATTAACTTCTCCTCTACTTTCTATTCTTACTTGTTTTATAGTCTTTGTATTGATCTTTTGTTTACTCTTTTCTACTTTCTTCACATTTCAGACTTTACATCTGGGTGGCTGGGGGATTGTGTCAGCTTGAGGATGGGCATTGTTTTATTCCCCGCAGCAGCTGTTGCAAAGGCACGTCACGGCACTTCGTTGGAACACGGGGAGGCATGTTGAACATGTTGGGATCTTCCAAAAACTGCATGCAGAGCTGTGAGCTCGCAGCAAGAGAGTATGTTGTAGAAACACTATTTTTTTTCTGGAATGCGTTTTCTTGGTGAACACGACATTCATTCATTGTGACATTTATGCCCTAGCTTGTGTCTCTTTATTCACAAGCAGAATTCCAGTGCCTGGTCGGCAGTCGCTGATCGAGAGAGCCGTACTGACAGCTTCTCACTTTTGTTCTTGCTGGGATTATGGTGGCCGTTGTTTGTTTTGGTTGCCATCATTTTCTTCTCGGCAATTCTGTCAAGATGTTAAGGAAGTAGCATGGCTCTTTGGAGTACCGCAGAGTTCAATTAGCTTTCAGTTGAAGCAGAGTTCCCTGTGAGAATCAGGCAAGCCATCGTGTCTGCAGTCTTGCTGATCGTTGTGATCTCCATTCTCTGTGAGTTGCATGAAGTTCTTTTTCATGACTGGAGCGCCCGGATCTATATGTACGAGGCGGGCAAAACGAAAGAGACAGTGGAAGATCAATGGCTTTGACAAGTACTGCACATTTTATTGGCCAAGTTATGTGTATGCATGCAACACACGCAAAATTATTCTTTTATGGCAGAGTTCCATGAACATAACGTGCATCCTTGCAGACGGACAGATGGACGGACGGCCAGACAGACAGACCGACGGATGGACGGACAGACACGGCTTGGTCTACTAGCTGATCCACATTCCTTTTTGCATTGTTTTAGAATTGTGCGTGCTTGTGCGTAGAATTGGTCGGGCTTCACCATCTTGGTGCTGAACTGCCTCCTCTTCGCTGAGGTGGGGCGAAAATGACCTGACGCCGTCACTCACTGGGCTGTGCTGTGTTCCTCGGTGGAGTCGTCCAGGCTTGGCGCTCCATGCGGGACACCTTCGTGTTGGAGGCGCCAGATAAGTTAAGTTTCCCCAAAATCGTGGTGCTACTTAAGCTGAAGCTTAGTAGCTACTTCCTACCCCCTGGCTTAGATACAACAAAAAAAAGGACATACCATTAATACATTAAGAACAAACAGCGGATGCGGTAGAGATGCACGGGAGATGCGACTGGTTTGACAACTTCGAGTTTGGCAACAAGCCTTCTTGTTGTTGTTGTTGTTGTTGTTGTTGCGAGACACACTCCAATCGAGTCGGGTCTGCAATCGGAAGGCTCACAAGTGTCACAAGGGGTATTATTTGACTCTGTACATTTGCTGTTTCTTCAGTGTTCGGCCGTTCCTTTGGCCTGGGGGTTTTGACTTTCCATGTTTGGAGCCGTAGCCACATAGCAAAGACCAGAGAAGTCGGGAGAAAGGGGACAACCAATCAAGTGCAGATGTTCTCGACCAGCGAAGATTTATTGGTATGCAAGAGTTGTCAGATCATTTTCAAACGCTTCGAAACAACAGTTTGAACATTCATTCGCAAAGGAGATTCATTCCTCTTACAGTATCCACACCTGTGTCTCTGGTGCCAGGGAACTGAAGAGATACGGAGGTTTTACGTGCGCCCAGCCTGGCATTGTGCATGCCTTTGTAGTCTTTCAATATTATACCACTACATATCACATATCATTTCTGGTTTTCCTTCATGTTGCATGTGGCAGCTGTAGCATACAAGAGTTCCTCAAAGGAAAAAGACACTCCAGATATAGTACACGGACTCAGGTTGGTTTTGGGATTCCTTTTGTCAGCCATACCCAAGGATCCTCTCGCGGAGTGTCCATGTGCCAGGTCTTTATCTCCTTTGTTAGCATTCTGTGCGCGACTTGGGATTTTCGGGCGGAGCTTTGGTTCTTTGCCATAATTGTTCGTTTTTGCTGCTTATTATGGCCTTTCTGTGCGTTTTTGCTGAAAATGTCTGAAGGTACTTTCTCACCTTGCCCTTGGTCTGCCTGCTGGCCTCCTTGCTTTCGCCCTGGGTTCGCGCCAAGTACGTGGATCGCTGCGAGGCAGGGTTGATCAAATTGCTGTCGAACTTGCTTTGACCACCTTTGCACAGTTGAGATCCCTTGAGATTGGAATGCGCAGCAGGTCGGGTGCCGCTTCTTGGCTACCTTGATATTGGGTCACTTGCTGAGGCTGGCATCATGCGTTACCAAAGATGGGCCACAAACGTGGCAGACATCGGCAGATGGACGGTTTGTATTTTGTCGAAGCCAGATATAGCTTGCATCATGAAAGTGATTCTTCAATGCCTTGCCATTTTTGTCCTCCTCCGAGAAGAAGGAGCGATTCCTTAAAGATGGCAAAAGGATCCAGTCCCGAGGCGATGTTTGTAAACTTTAGTCTCTGATAATTTCTGAAAGGACACGATCAGGTCCAAAGGTGAAGAACAACGCCATGGGGTCAAGCTTCCCAGGCCATCAAGGATGGATGCCATGCTCAATGCGCGGATGGAGGACGCCAATGCTCGGTAAGTTTGGTCCATTCTCCCATCACCGGAATTGACAGCCTTAGAACTTCATGATTTTCCCGCAGATGTTGGGGTTGCAGGGTATCCGATATTGGTCTGCAGCTACGTGCAATATGTGTGGCCAAGCGAGGAGCCAGTGGAGACCGTGGGGGAGCCTGCTGAGGAGGCTCTGGGATTGCTTGTTGTTGCTTGGGTTCTTCTTTGTAACGCACATGGACATTTAGTCGATACCGTGTCACGTTACGTGTAAGGTTTGCTGTTGCTGGGCACTGTTGCCGAGCGTTGTGATCATCTCATGTCGAGCTTCCTTCCGCTCTTGGAGGGACAGATCATCTCCGCTGCGGGCAGCGTCCCGCTCACCGCTTCGTGCAGCCAAGGTGGGCGGATTTGTCACGTTGAGTCGAATCAAATTCTTGATATTGTTACTAGTAGCGATGCCAGGAGCCCCTGGTAGCGTCCTTGCTCCTAGTACTGTAGTAAGGCCAGGAGCCCCTAGTATATAGCTTCAATCATTTCGTTTTCCCAGAATAACTTTATGTAGGCAAACAGATGAATTGATTTGTTTCGTCTGGGTGGCAAGTACAAGAAGAGATTGAAGAAGTTTAGTTGACGCTGTTGCCATTCTATATAATTAATTGTCAGGCTGTTGCGGACCGCAGGCGTAGGGCCTAAGGGTTGATTTAGGTTCATTCCTACTAACACTGACCGTCATGAGAGTGATGATGAGTTGTGAGCTATGAACTAAGAAAGGATCCATTCGAAATCCTGTCGCATCCTTCCTTCCTCGCCAGGAGATTCTGGGGACCAGGTGCGGATCCTCATGAACACGGGTTATTGTTGATCGAAGGAAGACTGCACCACACCAAGTCGCAACTCTCTGGCTTTCAAGGGGTGCAGGAAACCGTAGGAGGATAGACATCGATAAACTTCGATAGGTTTTCCAGTAGGAAACTGTAGGAGACCCAAAGGCTCCGCCATTGCATTTGACCCTGTACTCAATGCGCTTGTTCCATCATGCCAGTGTGGCGATGGGGAGCTTCCTGCTGAGTGACCTGGGATTGCGAAGTGATTCTCAACAACAAAGCAAGAGATACATCAAAGCCAGGTCAAAGCCTTCTAAGATCTTCAAGACTGATAGAGAAGAACGACAAGATGCGGCACGTAGAGTAAGCGTATGCTTGCTGTTTCTGTTGAATGTTGCAGAGCAGAAAAGAAGAACCTACTGCACGGGCACATGACTTGTGGAGAGCATTGTGCGTTGGAATGCTTGGTCGAGCAGCCCTTTGCCCGCACATTGGCTCAAATTAATCCAACTAGCAGCTTGTCTTCAGGCCCTCCTTCACAGCTGCACGCCGGCTGTCGTAAGTTCTACTCCTTACAGGCTCCTTGGCGAGCCTCACGATCTCTCTTTCGTGTTCATCATGAGCTTTGTTGGGCGCAGCTTCGTGGTTGCTTCCCTGGTGGCTCTGTGTCGAGCAGGTAGCATTCGTGGCAGCAGCAGAGAGGAAGGACGCACTATTTCTGTGGAGGAAGTTCAAGCCGGCTTGCAAGCTGCCATGCAAACAGTGTTGGATGGTGATGACGACTCAAGGATGCGTTCTGCTCGCATTGAAGAGCGTGTGTGGCAAACATTTCAGGCTCTACCCAAAAACGATGTGGGTCGCTTGACCCCTCGCGGAGTTCGATACTTGGTGCACAACTACTTCATGAAAGAGCATGGCTGGCTGATTCAGGGCTTGGATCCACATGGAAATCAGGCGAATGTCTCTGAAGTTCATGAGGTGAGCATCTTGCGGGACAAGGCTCCTGCACTTGTTGAGTCATTGTTGGAAGCACGGCGCTCCAATCATGGCCTGGCCCTGACAGACATCGTCACCATGATTGCCGCGTTGGAACGATTGATATTTGATGAATCTTTGGCTTTGCTTCGTGCAGCTTATGCCTTCAACGATGTCAGCATGTTTGGAGAAGTGGAGCAGAGCCGGGTGCACGATGTGCTCACTTCTTACCTTTTGCTCTTTCAGCTGGGCAGCAAAGGAAATTTGTCTGATGCACGGTTGCACCGTGCTTTGAAGGCCAGGGTCTCTCGTAGGGATGACTGGCCTACGGTTGTGGATTTCCAGAAGGATGCGGTGATGAATTTCAACTATGCCGAGAAAGACACCTCCAACCCTTTTGTCGAGCCGCGGTACACTTTCGAGGCAGGGATTGGCAGGATGCATCATGGTCAAGGTGTGGGTTCTATATATATATATATATATTTGTATATATACATATATAATATATTACGAAAGCCAGCCGAAGGCTTAGGCTGGAGGGTCTGTATATGGCGAAGCTATTCTGGGAGGTGAGGCCGGAATAGGGTGGGGGAACGGAAAAAAGGACACATGGACGAACACACGATGTCAATAATGCAGTGTTCCCCGGCCGGCATATCCGGCATCGCGAAGATTTGGTCCGAAACCACGTCAATTTTTATCAATCTTGAAAGATGGACTTTTCCTTTCAAGTCTTGGGCCTATTGCCCACGGTCGGCATGCTTGTCGATTGCGCGTGTCAATGCTCAAATGACTGTCTAGTCGTGCGTTTCATGCAGACTCTTCGCAACAGTAGAGTACAACATGTTCGCAAACTGTGGAAATAGCGAGGTTATTGATAGTCACGGTGCAGCAAACTACGTAAATTATCTTGTTTTGCTCTTTCAAAGATGTTGAAGCAGACATGGTTTTTAGCTTAAAGTGACCGAGGACTAAACCTGACCTCCCCTTTTTGGAAAATCAGCGGGTCAGGTTTCAGCTGATTCAAGTCGTGTGTTGCCAAGAGTGTTGTTCGAAGAGTCTCTCAAGAGAGTTTTTCATCAAGAGTGTGTGGCGAAGAGTGTCTTCACAAGATCGTCACTTTGAGAGTGGTTGACAAAGAATGTCTTTTTTGGCAAGTTTACCCAGGGGGTAGCACGCTACTTTGGATTTTTGCCTTTGTCTTTGGAATCACATTGTCCAGTCCCGGGTATTTTTGATTCTGGGTGCTTTTGCGCCGCCTTGACTACCAGGATATGCACATCCTCCATTCACAACAGAGCTACTCAATGACTCTGACCTAAGTTGTTTAAAAACGCGTGTTTTGTAAACGCCAGGCCCAAACAACACGCAGCTAGAATTTGTAAACGCGACCATTAAAAAACGCAAGGGCTTGTTAAAGGATTTGAAGGTGGAGATTTCAAGTTATCAATGGTGTAGATGCTTTTTCAAGAAGAGTGAAATTGCATGTGAGTAACCAGACAAAAGGTCGGTGATGAAGGTATCACATTGGAGTTCCCAGGGTTCGTGAAACATGCATGGGCGACAGAGGTGAAGAACCAGGACCAGAAGCGATGACATTTACTGAGCGCTTCTGGGCTCGAGCATAGTTGCGATTCCCTTAGTTGACTGATGTCATCGATGATTCCTCACCACTTGTTGCCGTTGCCGCTTCGTCCAGTGGCAAAGGTAGGCCTGTTGGCGGGCCACTTTGTTCTTGGTGTGGCACAGCTGAATGAGTCCGGTACAGACGGTGCCAGTGGCCGCCGTGGAAGGCCTCGCAAAGGAGAATCAGTTCAGACGAAGGCTTCTGGACGCTTCGGGGGTCAAGCTCGAAAGGCCCCGTTGATGAAAAAGTTGCATGAGCATGTGGGAGCTACTGCAGTGTTTGTTGTTTTGCCCATGCGTTTTGGGCCTTGTGAGAAATGCATTTGCAGATTTTTGGTCAGAGTGGTCGAAGGCTGAAAGCAATTGCCGATTCCTATCCGCTTGATTCAGACCTATGGGGAGTGCACAACAGTGCTTGTGCCTGAGACTGGGCCTGTTCAAGATGTCACGAAGAACTTCGTAGTTGTGCGATGCGCATACAAGAAGAAGAAAGCTTCCTTCGAGGGGGAGGAGGGAGTGACTTCGCTATGGGTCTGCAAGACATGCCTGTGGCACGAGAAATGCCCCTCGCACAACCGCGCTTTGGCGCACAAGCTCGGCCCCGTGACCCACCAAGCGTGGTTGGATTCTGGTCCTCTTAGACCTCGACGAGAACCATGTGCTTTGGCTGAAAATGTGAAGAAGCAATTGCACGAAATCACTCGCGCCACTCATGGAAATGCAAGGGTGAAGGCTTGTGAGCAGTTGCTTCCACAAGAGACCGTAGCTTCTTTAGCTATGACTGGGGTGACCTTGGCCAAAACTTACTGCTCCTTCCAGATGTGGGATAGTTTGGAGGAAGCAGAGCCAGGAGGGCAGCCTCTGAATTTGGAACGGGCCAAATTGCTCGAAGCCCTGGAGATTGTTGAAACTCAGTCTTCTTTCTCACGAGCAAATCATCCTCGCCGGAATGAGCTTTTAGCGTATGTTTCCAGTGGCGCTTACAAAGGTGCGAAGATTGAAGTTGAAACTTGAAATGCTTTTTTCAATCCGTGGAAAACGCATTTGGGTGTTGGAATTATTGTGGATCACATAGGAGCTTATATGCGTTTATTTTTTGCGCGAAAAAGCTTTGGGGGTTTGGCCTTGCCTTCTTTCTTTGCAGGCACGAACCGGCAAGAAGTGGCCAAGATTTTGAAGACGCTATACCGCCAGTGCTGTGACCATGCCCTTGCTATGGCACGGAATTCCTTGTGCACATTGACCTTTGATGGCATGTTCAACCAGGGCTACAACATGACCAACTTTTGGGCTGTGAATGCTGGGTGCAGGCACCACTTGCGCGCAAAGGACTTTTCGTGGAAAGTGCAAGATGCTGCGACCCTAGCAAATGAAGTAGCTGGCCTTGCCAATAGCTTGGGCGTGGAGATGATTGCCTGCGTATGCACCGACAGGCCGAGAGTGATGAGAGCTGCGCGCAGGGGCTTCCTCAAGAGTCCAGGTGGGGAGCTTCTTAGTCCTCTGTACGGGTAATCAAAAGCATAGGACAGTGGTTCCTGCAGATGCGTTTTTCTCATGGCCAAAAAAGCATTTGAGGCTTGAGGCTTTGAACCCTTTCTACAATGTTTTCTTGTGGCAGGAACTTCGCGGATCACCTGGTGCTTTTGCTTGGAGCATGGTGGCCACACTTTGGCCAAAAAGCTGCTGAAAGTTTTCCCATGGATGCATAAAGCTTCGAAGGATTTGAAGAAAATGCTGGCGTTTCAGTCTCGCAAGAAGAGGCTTCGCTGCTTACTCCGCGACCGAATCGCTCGGTCCAGCAAGCCCAGGAAGATTCACTTGAAAGTGCCTCGTTCTACACGTTTCTGCTCTATGCAAGCCAGCGGCGTGGCCTTCATGTGGAACCTTGAGGACATTCAAGTCCGCAGTTGCTCCAGGTGTGCAGCGTATAAAAGATTGTCCCACATCAAAAAACAATAGTTTAATGATTGTTCTCTGGGGCAGTCTATGTTTGGAAATGCGTGTGGCCCGATAAAGCCAGATGCGTTTCTCCAGGACGACTATAATTGCGCCTGTACCTTTTTTGGAGAATCTTCCTGTTAGGCGGGCGGCCGACGGAGGCCTTCAAGAGCATGAAAGCTGGTGAGGGCGGTGACGAGTTTGTCCGCGTGATCCACGACCGGAACCTGACTAATCCCATTGGTCGATTGACGCTATTCCTGCAGCCCCTCACCACATTTGTTCGAATGGCAGGGCGAGGTGTCACGTCTGAGGCGGTGATGCTTTGGTACAACATGGAGACCCAGATGGACTTTCTCATTGGCAAGTTTGACTTTGTGCGCCGGGGTGAGGCGAACGAAGCTTTGACAGAGAGGCGCCACCTGTGGCGTCAGTGGACAGAGCACTACCGTGATGGAGGCCTAGCCCCTGGACGAAAAGAAGACAAAGTGAAAGACCCGGGCTTCCTTCAGGATGCTCACTATTGTGCCTTTTTGCTTGACCCACGCATGTATCAGCTAGCGAGGCAGCATGCTCGTACTGCACCTTCTCTTCGCAAGGGCCTTCCTCGAGCCAATCTCCACGAGGTGCGTGTCGCCTGTGCAGATCGCATGGTTCCCTACTTGCATACCTTCTTTGCAAACAATGCCTACGCCTTGGGGCGTGCAATTGCAGAGTGGCAGGACAGCGGTGAAACCAGAAATCAGCCTGGTTCTCCTATATGCGTTTTTCTTTGATAAAAAAAGCAAACGAAGTTAGTTGCTCCATATGCATTTTTTCATGGCTAAAAAAGCATTCGAAGTGTGTACCTGCAGATGCGTTTTTTAGATGGAAAAAAAAGCGTCGGAACAGATGACGCTGCGAGCATCCAGGACTTTGAGGGACGCAAAGGGGTCTTTGCAAATGTCGACTTCCGAGTGCAGCTTGATGACGACATGCAATCCTGGTGGCGGCGAACCAAATCGACTTGGCTGTCAGAGGTTGCGCTCCACGTCGCGGCCATGTGCCCGACCAACCAAGCTGCTGAACATGGGTGGGCTCACTTGTGCCGAGTCACAACGCCAGTGCGAAACAGATTGTCAATGGATACGCGTTCGATGCTCGCAACAGTGCAGCATCATGCCCACCACGTGCATCCTTATGTGCAAAACCAGGCTCCTGCTCAGAGCCAGAAGAAGCGCAAAAGCTGGGTACCACCTTCGCTCCGCTTTGATGTGAAGCTGACAATCGAAGATTGTCGAAGGCACGCAGGTGCGGATGGCGCCGAGCTGGGGCCTGGAAAGCTGCAATCGCCTCTTGAAGCCGATGATGTGGACTCCATGGACAGTCACTCCAGCTCGTCAACCTCTGAGGAGGACTCCTCGGACGAGTCTCAGGGTTCGGAAGGCGACATGCCGCCTTGTGTGCCTTGCGATCCTTTTGTCCAAGTTTCCGCAGATGACTTGGAGCACAACCTTCGCAGTGAGATGTGAGAAATGAGAGACATGTTCAATGCCGTGCGCTGGGGAATGGAAAGAAGACATTTGATCTATCTATATATATATATATATATATGTATTTATACTTATATACTATCTACATATACTAGATACATATGTATATCGTCTATATATATACACACCACACAAGTAGATGCGTTTTGCAGCATGACCGAAATGCATGTGGACTGCCACCAACCAAAAGCAGTGAAAACACGCACAAAAAACGCCCAAAAAAAACGCTACTCCAGCGCACACCAAAAACGCACAAAACGCCAAAAAACGCACCTTTCGAAAACGCGTGTTTTCTTACCACTTAGACTCTGACTCATTTTGCGTCGCAGGCGCCTGGCTTTTCTGCTCGGGGGCTGGCTTTCGTCTCCCCCCCTTCTCAGGTATATATATATATATATACATACGCGTATCACGAAAGCCATCCGATAGGCAAGGCTTGAGATTGCTGGAGCGACGAAGTGAGAAAAGATGGTGTCCCACCCCGCGACCACCCCCCCACCACGACCACCCCCCCACCACAGTGTGGTGGGGGGGTGGTCGCGAGATGGCCAATTTCGGAGAGGTGAACCCAGATCCTGGTGGGGGAGAGCAAAAAAACAGGTGGGCCTCTTGTGATGCCGGTGATGTAATTGACGGCGAAGAGTGCATCATCGCCACGAGGGGCTCAGGAGGCCATGGAAAGAGAACAGATTGTAGATGCGGCTAAGCTTAGCGTTGCTGCCGGACTGAAGGGGGCCCTCCCCATGTTGGGCAGAGAGGCTAGGCTTGAGGTAGGGGATCGAACGAAATGAGTTAAAGGGGGGTGGTCACAAGGTGTGGGGGGTGAGGTGTAATCTTGCACAGATATTGAACTGTTTTGTACTTGTGAGACTGCACGTTGCATCCATACCACAGAGGTTGGCAGTTTGGCGCCATTTGAAGTGGCCAGCTGTTGCTGGAAACCATAGCACTTATTCCAAACTACATTCCAAATTGGAACAAGGGCGATATCTAATCGCGAAAGCCAGCCGTTCAACTCACTTAAAACATAGACCAACACACCATACCAAACGTTCCCCAGACTAGAAGGGTGCCCTTTGTCCCCTCCGCAACGCCCCGACATCGAGACGCAAAAGATGACCCGTCCGACCGTCTCTGGTCACTCATTGCCAACACGCAGCCGACAAACTCACATAAAATTTTGAGGGTGCCCTTTTTCACCTCCAAAACATTCCTGACCCCGGACGAAAAGGGGCGCCCCTTTTAATTCTACCGTCTGTTTCTACACCACTGCTGGCTACTCTTTGTACACTCTACCCACATACACACATATATGTATATATATATATATACATCCTCACCTACCCTACCCATAGCCTCGCACATCAATCCCCACCGCCGTTTTTGCTCACTGATTCGCAAGACGCCGCCGGCAAGCGCGCCTCACTTCCTTAAGGGTGCCCTTTCACTTCCAAATCGTCCCTAAACCGGGACGAAAAAGGGCACCTCCCCCCCAAACCTATGTCTTCTACTTTCTATTTCTACACCTTATCCGTGCGGCTGCGATGTCAACTTCACTCCATGATATTAATTTTGCCCGATGTTACCCCATCACTTCCTCTTGCACGCCAAGTCTTTGCCCGGGCTTGCCCCGAGGGCACCCCCTAAGCCAGAGGCTGGCTTTCGTCCCCACCTTTCTCAGGTATTTACATATGCATATATAACTATGTATATGCCATGATGATTTATGCGATGACATGCCAGTATTGAGC